AAAATAAATAAATAAATAAATAAATAACCCGTGCTATTCCCAACCTGGGGCTGGATGCCTTTAGTTACTAATGTTGCTTAGAAACTTGGGGCGACCAGAGAAGAGTAAGGTCCTAGCATGTTATATTTCAATGCCCTTTTCCCCTGGATCCTTCAGCTGATCCCTCACCCCAGAGCCCATGCTCCCTGACTCCTCTTGCCCTCTCTGACCCCAAGGCAGACAGCTGTAGGTGAAAAGGAAGCATCAGTGGTCCTCAGCCCTTGCTTCACTCCAGCCTCAGCTTCCAAAGAACCTGAGGGTTGAAGCCAGACTCAGAGAGGAAGGAGCTCACTCCAGCACACGGGGAGGCCGAGTACAGCGTGAAGAGCTGATTGTCAACGAGAGTCAGATTGCCCAGTGTCCAATGCAAGGAAGCAAGGAGAGTCGCATCTCAGATGCACTGGTGATTAAATGCAGAATATTTAGCAAGTGCTTGCCCTCTGCTAAGCATTCCTTAAGTAATCCTTTGTGTTAATAATCTATAACCACAGCAAAGTACCATTTTTCATGTGACCAGGGATTTTTTTTTAAAGGTTTTTTAATTTATGCTTACAGAACTGGGGTACAGGCCAGAGGTGTGGTGGGTGAGAGGACTTACCAGAGACAGAGTGGGGAGCAGAACAGGCAGATCTATGAAGTACACTGCTGAGGGGAGGAGCGGGCGGGTCAGGAGCGGTCTGCTGCACCATGTGGTCACCTCCGGGGCAGGCGGGGATCGAAATGGTACTGCAGTGGCTTCGGAGAGCTTCCTAATGTGGTGCTTTAACCCGCTGCCGCACCACCAGGGAGAGCTGACCATGGATTTTTAATAGTCTGGTACCAAAGGAAAATTTATTTTATAGGGTGGTTCAAGTAAATATTATTCAATGAGCTTATAGTTTGGAGAAATATTAAGTTGTTCAATAAATTTGCTTTTAAAAAGGTGGTTGGGCCCTACCTGATAGCGTAACAGGTTAAAGCGCAGCACTATGACATCCACAGCCCTGCAGCAGGGGTCCGATCCCCGGCCAGGGAGCTGACCCACATGGTGCAGCTGACCTCTGCTATCTACCCGCTGCTCCCCTCAGCAGTGTACTTCAGTCCATCTGCCTGTTCTGCTCCCCATTCTGTCTCTGGTGAATCCTCTCACCCCCTGCTCCTCTGGCCTGTACCCCAGTTCTTCTATGCATAAATTAATCTTTTAATAAATAAATAAATAAAAGGTGGTGAAAGGTGAGTAAATGCAGGAATACGAAGAGGCAACTAGCTTCAGAGGAGGTGAGAATATGACTATCATCTCTCAGGGGAAGAAGAAATATGCTGAGGGGGAGACAGAAACAGGAGGTGGGCAAACTATGGGTGGTGGAATGAGTGATTAGGAAGGGCAGAGCTTCAGAGAACAGCCCCCCTCCCCACCACATGACACAGACACCCCCCACAGCCGCACTGAGCAGCCTTGGACACTGCATCCTGCCGGCCCGGGTGGGCTCCGGTTCCAGTCCCAGGCATCTCTGGAGTCATGTCGCAGGTAGCACAAGCCAGGAAGGTCATAACAAGAGACCTGGGCTCCAGGCTAGTTCTGTAAGAATTATGAGCTCGCGCACGTCTCCATCACCAGCTAAACTCCATGACGATGGTGAAGCAACTGAAAAGTTTTTTCCCCTAACACCGTAGCTCCTAACCCTTTCTTAGACAAGCCTCTGGGCTTCCACTTGGGCACCCCTCCATGCTCCTATATTTGAGACCCTGGGATCCCCGTATCTGAGGGTGGAGAGAGGCAACCCCTCAGTCCAGGAGTGAGGGTGGGAGGCGGCCAGGCCGTGTGATGGCTTCTTCCAGCTTTGTCCAGCAGGGCCTGCCCACCTCAGCCAAGAAGTGGGACTGAGGAGGAGGTGAGCAGGGCTGAGGGACTGCAGCAGGAGCAGAAGAGGGGCAGGCTGAACCTGAAGGCCCTGACATGGACTCTTGTGACATCATTTTCCCCTCGTCAGCTTGTGTAAGGGAAGGGAAGTTAGACGTCACCACGCCAGTTACAGGCTGTGACCTTTTCTACCTTGCTGGCTTCACCATCTCCCTTTTTCAGCCATTTCCTTGCGTGAGGGGTGGCGGGGTGGGGAGCCGGTGGTGGGGGAGGGTGTTGGCTAATTCTGGGGACCAGGTGGAGGCAGCAGGAGAACCCTCCTTAAAGATGAGAAAAGGGGTGACTTCTGAGTTCCACATCTCATGCTGGAGTGGAAGGAGCTGGGGATCAGAAAACTGGGCTTCCGTGTGGACACCCCCACCCCCACTTCTCCTTTAGTAGACTTGGGGGGATTCCCTCTGCTTCTCTCTCTGATGATGATGATGATGGAGAGTAAGAGTATATTTAAGACCTGGGCCCTCCCTGGTGTGCAATGGGTTAAAATGCAGCACTATGAAGCTAATCAAAGTGGTTGCATGAGTCCATCCCCGGCCAGGGAGCTGACCCACACGGGGCAGCCAGCCTCTCCTGACCCACCCGCTGCTCCCCTCAGCAGGGTATTTCAGTCCATCTGCCTGTTCTGCTCCCCACTCTGTCTCTGATGAATCCTCTCACCTTCAGCACCTCTAGCCTATACCTATTTAAGACCCTGAGGTTCCAGTAGAAACTGGCCTGGTCACTCCCCACACGACAGGGCCTTGGGTGGGGAGTGAAGTAGGCAGATGGGGAGGTTGGGGTGTGGTGAATGGTCTCCAGTGTGGAGTGGCTGGTAACTCGGGTGGGAAGGCAAAGGAGTTTCAGACAATGGACAGGGTGACCTCCCACGCACTGCACAGCCGGTCTCCTGAGGGGAGCTGCCCGTCTTTCCGCTGCACCCTGTCATGGTGGTGGGCACACAGGAAAGATTCATCAGTAGTAGCAGGAAGGAGCTGGCAGCAGAATGCAATGTCAATTCCACAGTGAAGTCAAGGGGTGTGGGAGTCTGTCCTCTCTTGGACCCCAGACTCTCCCAAAAGCTTGGGCAGTGACTTGTGTCCACTCCCCACCCTTCACTGCACCCCCATCCACTCCTCCATGCAGCAAACATTTATTCAGCAGCTGCCTGCTTGTTGTAAGTGGGACAGAGGGCTCGAGCCCGAGGATACAGAGATGAACAAGGTGCAGAACTTAACCACAAGGCGCTCACAGTCTAGCTGGAGAGACGACACTCACGATCAAGAAAACAGATTGCTGCCTCGGCACTCCAGGGGATGTTAGCAAGTGCTGAAGGAATCAGGGGAGGGGAAGTGATCTGTCCTGCAGAAACAAGAGAAGGCATAAACCCTTGCATAAGTAGTGGTGCGTAAGGAGGGTTCTAAGGGATGCATAGGAGTTTGCCAGTAAATGGAAGGGGAAGTTCCCAGGCTAAGAAAACAGGTTGAGCAAATATGCTTGGCAGAGGTCAGAGTGTGTCATGAAGAAGAGGGCAGAGGCGCTGGGTGTGGCTCTGTGAGGTCACGGGGCAGGTGACGCTGGATGAGTCCTGGAGCTGAGAATGGTCAAGTCTTTGCTGCATTATCTGCTCCAGCCCCTGCCCTGGGGAGTCAGGGAAGGGGAACTGCCATGAACTGAACAAGGGGGCTTTTGGGTGGGGTTCCCCACCCAAGCTCAAGAAGAGCAAATGTTTGTGTCTCTGGAAACAGTGTGACCAGGCGAGTGTGGGGCTGGCTGCAGCCAGCCACTGTTGGGCGGGAAACCCATCCCAGCCTTTATGTGTCCTTGTTTGTGTTTTGTGCTGATATCTCTTGTTTCCTAGGAAAATTCCTTGTCACAGCTCCAAGTTTGGCTTGGCTGATCCGAGGGAAAAGGAGCGTTGCCTGCACTTGGGTGAGGAAACCAGAGTCTCCTAGAGGCTGGACGGGGTTCAGGGGGAAGCAGCAGGGACGGCTCTGCACAGGTCTCCTGCTTGTGGTCCCTGTTGCCCTGGCCATTTCTGTAGCCTCTTGTCCATCCCGCTCCCTTCCCCACACCAAAGGCAGCTGGACTCAGAGAGAAGCCCAACACATGCTTTAATCCTGCCCAGGCTGGTCCTGCCCTCCCGGAAGAATGCCTGCCTTGGGGAGGGGACTCTCCTTCCCCTCAGAGCCCCTCTCCAGCACAGGCAGATGAGCTGGTGATACCCACGTCTGAGGGCGTTGGGCGGGGCCCAGGGTGGCATAGGCAGGTGGAGGGGCTGTCAAGGCCAGGGTGGTAGCAGGGTTTGGTGGCACTGAGGCGGGAGATGAGGGGTGGGGGCAGAAACGGGAGGGCAGGGAGGAAGTGGGGGTGGAGGCCACCTCCCGGGCACCCCGGCCCCCTCGGCCTGGAGACCAGTAGCGGCTGCGGAACCTCCGGAGCAGCATGAGGAACGTGATGACCAGAAGATCAAAGATGAGCTCGGCCATCTCCACCACAGAGAGCACGGAGGAGCCGAACCACAGGCTCCACTGGCTGCCCAGGTTGGACAGGAGGGTGACCATCTGTGAGGGGAGAAAGCACACTGACCACTTGGGCGGAGAGCCCCGGGTGGTCTCCCCTGCACTGGCTGCCTCAGTCACTTGTTCAGCCTTGGTGTGGCCCCCTGACTCCTTCACCGAGGTGTGCCTACCTGGCACACTCTCTCCCATCGCCCCAAACTTCATTCCTAGCACAGCATCCTTCTTCCGACCCTCTCAGCTCACCCTTGCTCCTGGGCTCCTTCCCTCGGTCTCCTATGTTCCAGGCCCAGGCCCCTCTGGTCTCTGTTTTCCCCGACACCCCCCCCCCCCCACTAAGACCCTCCAAGAAACCCGCTGGCTCTCCCCCAGGCTCGGGGAGCCAGGACATACCGTGACCGAAGGCGACTCAGAATTGGTCTTGTAATTCAGCTCCTTGAAGAAGATGTTGAGTTTGGCAACTCCATTTCTTTGGGCGTGGGCAGGAGGGGTAAGGATGACAGAGGATTATCTTCTGGAACTTGAAAATACCTTCCAATCAACTGCATCCGCTCCTCTTTCCCTCCCCAGCATCTCCTTCCCAGGGGCAGGGCAGGGCAGGACTGACCTTTTGTTATTGATGGTGTAATTGTTCTGTCGGGAGAGCATCTGGAAGACCCAGTCCTAGGAGGAATGGGGGTGTTGATGGGGCTACCCTCATACTCCTCAGGCTGACAGGGCTGGGAACGTTGTCACGCCCCATCACTCCCTCCTTCACTTTACCTGGGATGTCACTGAGGGCCAACGTGAGTATCCCGCAGAGAGCTGGTAGCTGGTCACACTGGGGTGAAGAACACACTCAGTGATGAGGTGAGGCTTTCCCACTCAAGGCTCAGCTGAGCATCCTGGCTACCCACCCACTCACCTGCAAGGCTTCCTGCACTTGGCGAAACAGCCCAGGCGGTCCGAGGAGAAGGCATCTTGGAGCTTATAGTAGCAGTAGCCTGTGGATAGAAGGGATGCATATTTTCCCAGGACACCTCAACTTTCTCCAGCCCACACCTAACAGGTTCCCTGAGCACCCACTTTCCAAGAGCATCGTGTGCATTAAAACAATGCCCCTGAGCGACAGCCTCAAAAAATGTTGAAGACATTCAGCTAAGTCAGACAAAACTTAACTCATGCCTCTATGTTGCACTTCTGTAAAGGTGTAGGCTAGGATTTGGGCAACAATTAAAAAGTAAAAAAAAAAAAAAAGAAATTGTTATTGCATAAGAATAATGAGAGTCAACCACTTCAACTCACTAGGATGGTTCTAATAAAAACCATCTAGTAAAAAAGTGGCAAGAACACGGCGTGACTGGAACCTGCAGACGGTGGTGCTGGGAATACAGACAGTGGCCACTTTGGAAAACAGCCTGGCAGTTCCTTAAAGGTTAAGCAGAATTATCTGGTGTCCCAGCAATTCTATTGCTAGGTAGATACCAGGAGAGCTGAAAACCTATGTCCAGGCAAAATCTTGTCCACACAGGTTCGTAGCAGCGTAATTTACAACAGCCAAAAAGTGGACACACACCACATGTCTAAATGAGTACGTACACAAAACCCAGCACGTGCACAGAAGGGAAGTCAGTCATAGAAAGGAATGACCCGCTGGTACAACGGGGGAAACCTTGAAAATACAGGTCAAGTCACAGCACACCCTCTTGCCATGCCCGCTGCTCCCCTCAGCAGTGTATTTCAGTCCATCTGCCTGTGCTGCTCCCCACTCTGTCTCTGGTGAATCCTCACCCCCTGCACTTCGGGCCCCAATTCTCTACAAATAAGTAAACATTTAAAAAGAAAGAAAAGGAAATGCAGGCCAAGTAAAGGAAGGCAATCCTAAAGGATCCCAGCCTGCATGATTCTGTTTCCATGCCACTTTCAGAATAGGCAGGTGCAAAGAGACAGACAGCAGAGAAGGCAGAGGAGGGACAGGCCCGGGGTGGGGGAGGGCAGGGAGCAGGAAGTTGGAATGAATTCATAGGTACAAAGTCTTTTCTTAGAGCGATAAAAAATATTTCAAATCAATTATGGCAAACATTGCGTAATTCTTTGTCAATTAAAAGCTACACTAAACCAAACTGAACTGTGCACTCTACGTGGGTACTTTTTTTTTTTTTTAAGATTTATTTATTTGTGCATACAGAACTGGGGTACAGGCCAGAGGCTCAGGGGTGGCGAGAAGGCTTCACCAGAGACAGAGTGGGGAGCAGAACAGGCCGAATGTCGAAGTACACTGCTGAGGGGAGCAGCAGGCGGGTCAGGAGAGGTCTGCCACGCCATGTGGTCACCTCCGGGGCAGGCGGGAATCGAACTCATGTGGAAGTGGCTTTAGCTTCTCAGTGCTGTGCTTTAACCCGCTGCGCCACCAGGGAGGGCCTCTACGTGGGTACATTTTATGTAACAGGAATTATCTCCATAAAGTTGTTAGACAGAGAGAGAGAGAGAGAGAGAGAATGGGCGGGTGGTGCCCCCTCCTCCATTAATTCCCAAGTCCTCAGGTTATTTGATCATTCCCGCTCTTTCAGTCACCATTCCAGAAGTCTTTCACCTCAGTTTCCCAGGGCGGAGGTTCTTAGGAAGGGGAGGCTGCCGAGGGCAAGCAGCCCCAGGACACAGGCAGACAGTGTGTAGCCAAGCTCCTTGCCCTCAGCCTACAGCTTCTCAGCAATCAGTGTCCTTATTCTCCTCTCACAGATCTTCAAACACACAACCACTTAGAAATCATTGCCGTGGGGAGCAGTGAGCTAGGACCCCTGCTTGTCTTGGGGGAGGACATCTTCTGGCCGGGAGGTCGGGCCGGAGCCTGCCTTCCCTCCAGCTCTGGTGCACCAGCATCCTCCAAGGTCAGAGCCACAGGATGAAGGGCAGAGGTGGGCGAGCAGACCGGCCCAGGGAAGAAACCACGATGACCACAGCCAGAGCCAGCAGGGGTGACGCTGAGCTCTGGAGGCTGTGGTGCCCCCCGACCTGGTCCTCCAACAAAGGCCAACCCACCACCTACCAGTGGAGAAATGGGCCCAGGGAGCCCGGGGAGGACCACCCCAGCGGCCCCAGACAAATGCATATACACTCCAAATGCCAACCCTCTATTTTCTGTAGTTCTTTGTTGGGGATTTTCTTCCTCCCCCAGCTTCCTAGACACAGGCTTCCTGATGAATAACTCAGCTGCACCGAAAGGAAAAGGGGTTTAACTACCGCTAGACCAGGCCAGGGGAGGGATTCCAGGGCTCGCCAGTGTTTTCTGACTATGCCTTTCCCTAGGGAAACAACTCTTAAAGAAGCAATGTCAGAATATGGTTTTGGTTTACAAAGGACAAGCCTACCACCATGGGAGGGAAATAGTGCATGTACTACAGATCATACATAAAATGGAAGATGTTAGGGAATGAAACAGACACATGAAACTTCTAGTATATTCTCTGTGCACCCAGGGCCTCAGGAGGAAGCTGCGAGGGCCAGGCAGAGCCGCTGAAGCCTCAGCAGGCCCCAGTGCGGAACCAGGGAGACTTTCCTCATGAGCTCTTCCTTCCTTAAGCTGAAGTTAGCTTTCAATGCAGCCGTTCCATTATGCACACAGAAGCCGAAACGGAAAGAGAGAGAGACTGTGAGGGAGGCAAAGGGAGCGAGGAGGGAGACAGGCGGTGAGAGGGAAACTGAGGCAGAATCGAAGACAAGTAAACAAGAGAAAGAGAAGTGAGCTGGGCTGGGTAGCCAGCCCCCACCTCCACCCCAGACAGAGGCCTCCAGAGCTTGGAGGGCTTGGGAAAGTCCTAGCTCAGCGGGAGCAGAGGGCAGGAAGGCCCAGAGTCGCACCCCAGGAGTCACGCCTCCGGTAGTTACAGTACTCCACACCGTCAGGCCGAGGGTAGAAGATGTAGGCGCAGCCACACTCCCTGATCATGTTCTCCTGGAAGCAGGAGTGAATGCACACCTGGAAAGGAGGGCAGGAGGGGAGGAGGGTCAGGCGCCTCTCCCATGCAGCCCCAAGAGCAGAGGGCAGCAGACATCTCCACCCCTCTCTGCAGGGGTGGGGTGGGGGGCACACACACCCTGACTCTGCCTGTCCACAGTGCAGGCCCGGGAGGTGGAGCCCAGTGAACCAGCATGGGCCTCACCTGTTGCGTGTATTTGGAAGACTTGTACAGGTTCTTCACAAGCACGTCGCTGCCGTCCTTCGTGCAGTCACCATAATTGCCCCCGAGTCTGTCCAGTGCTTCCTGGGAACCACAGCCACAAAGCAGTCAGAGCTCAGAGCAAGCAGCCGGGCCTCTTCCTGCATCCTGTCTTCTCTCTGGCCCCCAGTGGTGTCTCTCACCACCAGCCCCCCATCTGCCTCCCATTTCAAAAGAAGCTGCCAGTGGCCCCCAACGCCTATCCAGTGGCCCCAATGCTACTTTCAAGGCCCCGAGTGCTACTCCGTGATGCGTGTCCTGACTCCACTCTCAGCCGTCTGGCTCCAGGTCACCTTCGGGCCTGCCTCCTGGTGCACATTCGGCCAAACCTGCTCCTGAAGCTCTCTCCATGCTCAAGGACCCTCCCCACCCCCAGCACGGCCTCTGTCCCAGGCTTTTGGGGATTCGGTCTGCCTGGCTCCCCCTGCATTCTCAGGGTCTCCTCCCAGCCTTGCAGTCAGCCCCTTGCCTTCCTCATGCTGATGGAGGTCTCCACACCAGGCCGCAGGTTAAAGCCACCATCATCCATAAACGCGGGTTCATCCTGGCCGTGCACCATGACCCTGGCCCCAGTCACCGTGGAGAGCAGCGGGATGAAGTCGTTCTGCTCTGTGCGCAGCGTCAGGGACAGGCCTGGGGGCACAGGGGAGCAGAAGAAGCATTAGAGGAGGGAAACCCAGCCCATACCCTGCCCTGTCTCTGACACTCCAAGGGGAGCAAGACCAGGGAGGGAGACCCAGACCAATCAGCACCTACCCCCCCCCACCCCGCCAACCCCACCTCCCCAACCCGCCCAACCCCGCCACAAGCTGGATTCTCGAAGGGAGGCAGGTAGACCTGGGACAGGATTCCTATGGACTAAACGGTGCCCTGGGGTAGGGGGAGAAAGAATCGTTCTGGGTTAAATCGGCATGGAAAGGCGAGGCACAGAGGGCCGGAGCACCTCTGGAATGCAAGCTCCAGGCAGGCACATGCAAGTGGACAGGGCAGTCAGGGCAGAGGACACATGGGCTCACCCACCATTGTTGATCCCAGGCATGGATGACATCCAGAGGTTGGAGTTGTTTTTGTCATTGAAAGTGTAGCAGTTGCCATACATTGGGTGGTGGAACTTAGAGTAATTCCTTACCAGAGAGAGAGAGGGAGCAGAATGTAAGTCCCAGGGAGAACAAAACTTGCAGAATAGTTCATGTCCTGACCACCTGGGGGCTCTGCCCACACTCTAACCAATTTCCTGTGCGGGCATCATCCCTACATCACAGAAGAGGAAGCTGGGGCTCAGGGAGGTCAACTCATTGCCCAAGGTCACACAAACATTGATGACGAGCACAGGACTCAAGCCCAGGTCATTCAGCACCTGCCCGGGCTCCTCCCACCAGGTTACATGACCTCACTGGCCTGGTGTCCTCTCTCCTTGCTCTGTTGTGCTATGAAGACTCTTGCAATGTCCCCCGCTTCTCATGTGTCCAAACCTTAGCTCTCCATTGAGATTGTGATCTCCTTATGGACAGACCTCATCTCGTGTACCTCTGTATCCTCTCTGGGTGAACTGCACAGCTCCTGGCATTTGGCAGATGTTGGAGGCCGTTACAAATGGCTAATGAATGAAGGAAACAAATGCAGACATGGACGGGAACAGGTCTAGAGGAGAGAGTGATTTGTTGCTGAGAGAGAACTGAACGGAAGAAGGTCAGCTCCCAGGACAGGGACAAAGCCAGGTACATCAGCAGGTCTCTGATCAGCAGGCCCCAAACTGGACTGTACAGGTTTGGGAACAGAGAAAGAATCTCGGAGGCAGTTGCTGAGACAGGAATATAACTGTCAGCAAGTCGTAAGTTCCCAGAGAGGCTGTGTAGGGTTGTAGCAAGAACCCAGACAGGAACCAAGGGGACCTGTGTTCTAACTACTCTGCTTCTTGAAGCTGGTGATGGGCAGAGGGAGAGAAGAGACAAGGGAGAGGCGGGAAACGGGGCTGTGGCAGCGAGGCAGAGGATGGACAGAGGAAGCGGGGGAAGAGGAAAGCTGGCGCATAGCAGTGGGGATCTGTTTGCCTGATCTTGAGCAAGTCGCTTTTTTCTGAACTTAATCTCCCATGTGAAAAACAAGATGGCGCTGCATGATCTGGAATAGTCCATTAACTTCGAAGAACAAAGGCACAGAGGTATGAAATATTGGTGCACATTCTAGGAGATGCCAGGAAACCTGCAATCAGGAAAGGATGAAAAGGGGCTGCAGAAGCGACAGTCCTGAGGGGCCTGTGGGCCTAGCTCAGCAGGGCAAGCGCAATCCGGCCGATGGCCTCAGGCGGACTCAGTAGGCTCCATAGAGCACAGAGATGAATCCAACAACAGAGCTTAGGAGAAGGGAGATCTAGACCACAACACTTGTATGCACACATGACCTACACGTTTTGTAAAAACACAGGCATCATGAGAATACATGAGGAGGCATATGCCTGATGGGTAGGGTCTCAGGCTCCAGACTAAGTCCTCCTATTTGAACGCTAGCTCTAACAAGTATTGGGGGTGGGGGTCGACCAAATTTGTTAATCTCTCTGGGCTATAGTTTCCTCACCCGTAAGTGTTGATAATAGTGAGGACTAGCCCCTTATTAATGTGGGGCCAGTGAGGAGCCAATTACACTTAGGACAGGACTTAGCACTTAATACAAGCAATGTGTTTGCTATTAGAAGTACAGGAATTCATTAAGATAACCAAGGTTAAAAACACAATAAGCAGTAGAGATTGTGGTAATTTGCAACTCTTATACACTGGCTTTGGGACTATAGAGGGTACAGCCACTTGGAAAACAGCAGAGCAGTTCCTCAAAATGCTAAATATAGAATTACTATGTGATGTAGCAATTCCACTTCTAGGTACATACTTCAGAGAAATGAAAACCTACATCTGAGCAAAAATCTTCACAGGAATGTTCACAACAGCTTTGTGCACAATCACCAAAAAATGAAAACGATCCAAATGTCTATCAACAAAGGACATGATGGCACAACAAAATGTGACAGGGGTAGATGGTGGAATAGTATTTAGCCACGAAAAAGAAGCATTGGCACTCACTGCACCCTTAATAGCACGCTAAGTGAAAGAAGCCATACAGAAAGGATCACATATTATATTATTCCATTTCTACGAAATGTCCACAAGAGACATCTACAGAAGCAGAAGGTGATCAGTGGAGATGAGGCAGGAGGAAGGAGTAACTGTTAGTGAGCACAGGGACTCTTTGGTGGGGTGAAGAACATTTTCTAAAGTTAGACAGTGATGACAGTTGCACAGTTCTGTGTATATAAAACCCAGTGAACTGTATATATCATCAGGATGACTTTGCTAGTAGGTGGGTTATATCTCAATAAAACTGCTACTGGTACATATACATAATGGAATATTACTCAGTGATCAAAAGAGATAAAAGCATGCCTTTTGCAGCAACATGGATGGAGCTGGAAGGGATCATGCTTAGTGAAATAAGCCAGAAAGAAAAGGAAAAATACCGATGGTTTCACTCATAGCAACCAGGGCGGGGGGAAATAATAATAATGAACAACCGTATACCAGAGACATTTTATGGGGGTGGAGTGAGGAATGGGATCAAAAATAGAGGGGGGAGTACATGGGACTATGGTAATGGCACACAGGTGATTTGGTGATGGGAAGCCCCACGGAGATTACAACTGAGATGGAAAGGGCACAAAGTGATGTAAAAATAAACTATTATATATTTTTTAAAAAACTATTACTGAAAATTCTAGAGAAAAGGGAAAAGGACTTAGAGGGAGGGAATGAGGAATGGGTCAAAATACAGAACTTCTACTTGATTCTAAAGGTCACAAGAGCATCTAGGGAGAGTAAACAGGAGGAACCAGAATATTTCAGTCCAAAAATGAAGTAAGAAGAGTGAAGCATGAAGCCTCCTGCAGTTGCAGAATGAAGGAAGGATTTGGGGGTGGAGAGGTTTATAAAAACCCAGATGAGAAATGATAAGCCTCTGAGCTAAGGAAGTGACCCAATGTCAAGATGAACTCTGGACTTGCCGTTGCTGGGGAGGTAGGAGCAGGAGGCACTCTGAGTGAGAGGATGGCAGGTGTGGGCAGGTGTGGGCAGACGGCTCAGGTACTGCTGTGTCTCACTTCCCAGCTGGCATCCTCTGTCCGCAAACAAACAAACTCCAGAGGCAAGAACAAAACTGTGGGCTGGCCAAGGTATGTGTACCAGGTGAGGAGTGGGGGCAGGAGCAGGTGACACCTGGCACAGCTGTCATTCTGCAGCAACACTGAAGGGTGTTCTGCAGAGCCAAGCGGCTGCCTCCCCCTGCAGCCCTCCTCAGCCCAGCAGAGGCGCTCACAGCACCTGAAAATTGAGGTACGGAAGCAGGGGGAGGGGGCAGGCATCAGAGGCTACAGAAGGAGACCCCACATACTCCTAGCTTCCTAGTGCCCAGAGACCTCAAAGTCATCAGGCATCATGCCCTGAATGCAGGGACTTTGTGGCAAGGGTCATCACAGAAAGGATGCCAGGTAGGCACTGCAGTGGAGTGGGGGCCCAGTGACCAGGGACAATCATTCCACCTGCCTGAATGCCAGCGTCAGAGGCCCATTAGTCAAAGGCAGTTGACAACCTGCCCTCACATTTGTTAACTCCATGCACCTCGTAGAAGTCTTGAAGTGAGTGTGACCATCATACTTATTGCTTGAGTAGAAGTGCCAGAAAGGCAAGGATTATGCAGAAATATAATACACAGTGGGTGTATCCCCAACTGTGACTGGCAAACTTTAGATGTCAAAAATATTGGTTGAATGAATCTCATTATTTCTATTTTACATAGAAATAGCCTCGCTGAGTGAAACATCCAGTGAACAAAGCAAAGCTTCACCCATCACTTAATCCAAGCTTTTTCCACCATCACTGCCCACCTGTCCTGTGAAGGTGGAGTGTGGACCCAGGTGACCTTCTGGGCACTTTTGGATTAGATGACAGTGAGAAAGAGGCAGCCCACTCTTCCCTGGGTTTGTGTAGGTAACCGGCTGGTTCTCTTTTACATGCAGTTTTGCAGTGGCCAGGAGCCCTGCAGGCCGATTCCCAGGGCAGAGGTTTGGATCAGACCCTTGCTTCTCCCTCCTATCCAGTTATTTTGTCAACACACATAGGTGCAGGCCGGCCCAGAGAAAAAAGTACCCCCCCACCCCCTCAGGGAGCGCAAGTCTTGCAGGATGGACTCACGCCTGGTTGCAGGACTCCTGGTTGAAGCGGCAGGCGTAGATGAAGTTGCCCAAAGCATCTTCCTCCAGGGACGGAGAGGTAGCTGACAGCCGCGACAGAATGTTGATGTAATGGAAGCGGTACCACTCCCTCACTGCGTCCACCCCTGATGAGTATGTCTGGTAGAAGCAGTCCGATTTGTTCTGGTTGCACTGCACAGAGAGAGCAGAGACTCAGAGGCCAGCAGCAGGGCCGAGGAATCAGTGGCCTGAGGTCCCCGGGGGGCTGACAGACAGGGATAGAGCCAGAAGCTGGGGAGACCAGAAGGCAGAGAGAAGCAGACACACAGGGAGAGAGAGGACCAGGAGAGCAGACTCCGAGGAAGGAATGAAGGCAGCCAGGAGGAAACCAGAGCTGTCCAACAGTTGTTTCCCCTGGAGGGCAAGGATTCTTCTCTCCCTTCCACTGATTGGAAGACAAGTGGTCAAGGCTTGTCCCATCCATGGAGCTGGAAACAGCAGTCCTGTGTCCTGGTCGCTTGGCCTCTCTCACTGCAAACATGAAGGGGGGGCCTCTTCATTCTGGGGGGCTGTTTTATATGAATCTTTATAAAGGGGGGGTTTTCTTCTTCCCTCTGATTCTTTCCCATTTCCTCTTATCTCTCCCTTTTATTTTTACAAAATATATATTTTTTAATTCTCCTTTTTACTGTCTCCTTGTGTCTTTGGTTGGCAGTTCCAGTTCCCCATTCCACCAGAGGGTCCTGGCGGAGCCCCACCACCCCGTGGGAGACTGAAATTCAGGAAGGTGCATGTCCCACTGAAGATTTGATTCCCCTTCACTTAGACAGACCCAAAGCGAGGAGCCCCCAAACTAGAGACCCTATTTAATTTGAACTCAAGGTCCCACTTCGAATCACCAGGCTCAACAGTGCCCAGCCGGGGTAGGGAGAGGGAGCCCCGCCCGCCCCCGAGTGTGGGCGTCACCCCGACGGGAGGGACGGACGGAGAGTGGGCCCGCCCACGTCTGGGTTTGGGGGGGCCGCGGGGCGGGGCCTCACCAGCTTGAAGCCGATCTTCCAGTCCTTCCTGTTCACTTGGGGGTTGTTGTCTCGCACGCTGGAGGCGGCGCTGCGGGCTTTGCGGCCCTGGTGGGGCGGGGACGCGACCCACAGGCGCTGCAGGGGATGTGGCAGGGTGGCCCGGAGGTCCCGCCGGCCTCGGGGGTGCGATCCCAGGATGCTGGAAGAGTTGTATTTGTAGAGGTCGAAGAGCGTCTGCTCCGTGATGCGGTCCAGCTCCTCCAGCTCCTCTTTAACTTCTGTGTACCTGGGAGAGCGAGGGGAGAAGGGTCAGCCTAGCGGGTGGCCTTGGGTGAACCCTGCCCCTCGGGGCTCAGTTTCCTCAGTTTCCTCGAGGTCACTGGTGAGGTCGGTTGCTCGTGGAGAACCCGCGGGGAGTAGTTCTGGTGGTCTGTGAGCCATCTGGGGAGTGGAGGAGGCAGAACAGGTGTGCGAGGGGGGGAAGGGTGTTGAGGAGGGTGGGGGGGGGCTTGAGGGGGCGGGGTAGAGGGATGGGCCCTGGCGCTGATGCCAGTCATTGCCGCCTGTTTATCATTAGGGAGCTGCGAGAGAGGCGCCAGCCTATGAGACACTCTCCTCCCACTCGCCTGGCCTCCGAGGGAACCCAGAACCTGTCAGCCTTTCTCGGAGGTTGGAGTCTGGGTGCAGTGGGGAAGCTTGGGCTAGAGCCGAGCCCTGACTTGAATTGGCCATCTAGCCCTGAGCCCCTCTGGTGCTGTTCTCAATCAGAGTCTCAACAGAACTTCTAGAATCTCCGGTGGCGCTGTACAATTACCTTTGCTGCACCCTCTCCACTCCCACCCCACTTTCTCTCCCTTAGACTCCGTTTTAATGAGTTTTGGGTGGGGCTCAAACACCCTAAGTTAAACACTTCCCAAGATCATTTATAACATTCCTTCTCCATTGTGAAGACTCCACTGAGTTCAGAGGGCCTCAGGGACAAAAACCACCAAAACAAAACAAGCTCCCTGAAACTAATAAACAAGTTTGCAGGGCGCAGGACAAATATGCACAAATGAATTGTATTTTCACATGCTCACAGCAATTTACTGGAAATTGGGTTTGTGATCCACAAAAACAACACCCTGCTAAACCACATCAACTACTAGGAATAAATCTCAGGAAAGACATGCAGGACTTCACACAGCAGTCCCGCCGCCTGCACAAAAGCCAAAATAAGCAGCTCTGTATATTCGTGGGTCAGAAACTCAGACAGTTCAGATTTCTCCCGAATTGATCTTTACATTCAACACAGCCCCTGCGAAAATTTCAGCAGACATTTTAAAAGAAATTGACAGGCTGATTCCAAGGTTTACATGAAGATGGAGGGGGCGGGGACAAAAACTTAGAATGGATAAAACACACTTGGTGTTTGGCGTAATAGAGCGAAGCTAGAGCACTTATTCTACCTGACATTAAGACTTTCTATACAGCCACTGAAATCAGAGCGGTGTAGTAAGGACTGTAAGACTGTAAGGACAGTCTCTGAATCAATGCAACAGACTAGAAGACAGAAATAAATTCACTATTATATGGTCAGCTGATTTTTGGTCAAAGAACCAATTCTATTCGATGGAGAAAAAAAATTGCTAAAAGATTTATTCATTTATGCATACAGGAACTGGGCTACAGGCCAGAGGTGTGGGGTGGGGGTGTAAGAGGAGTCATTAGAGTCAGAGTGGGGAGCAGAACAGGCAGATGTACTGGAATACACTACTGAGGGGAACAGCGGGAGGATTAGGAGAGGTCTGCGGCACCATGTGGGTCACCTGCCTGGTTGGGAATCGAACTCATGTTGCAGTGGCTGCAGATAGCTTCACGGTGCATCTAATACTAAATGGAGGGGGAAAAGAACCTCAACCCCTACCTTTGACCATATACAAAAATTATATCAACAAGGATCATAGACCTAAATACAAAATTCAGAACCATTAAAATTCCAGCTCTAGTGGTGGTGGTGCAACGGGTTAAAACACAGCACTTGGAAAGCTGCTTCAGCAAGTTTGATCCCCCACTGGGAGGTGACCCACAAGGCCTGCCAGACCTCTCCTGTCTCACCCACTGCTCTGCTCCCCTCAACAGTATACTTAGCGGATCTGCCTGTTCTGCTCCCCGCTCTGTCTCTAGGGAATCCTCTCACCACCCCTGCACCTCTGGTCTTTACCCCAGTTCTGTATGCATAAATAACTCTTTAAAAAAAAATCCAAAATATTCCAGCTTTTCAGGATGTTGGGGTAAGTCAAATTTCTTGGAATAAATAATATCTAAGGAACAACTCATCCTGAAATATAAAGACCATGTAAATCAACAAGAAAAAGGTAAGCTGTGTCAAAAATGAACCCAAAATATACTAAAGAAGCTCAACATAATTAGTCCTCAGGGAAATGCAAGTTTAAATTATAACGAGATATTTAAACATCCATTAAGCTAGAAGACTGAGATAGTCAAATGTCAGGGGGAGGGGAAGGGGAGGAATAACAAATTGCTACTGGAGTGAGTTTAAAGCGGTACCCAATGCCACTCCAAACTACTTACCTAAGAACAATGAAAACATAAAGGCTTATACATGGATGTTCCATAGCAGCTTTTGTCACAATAGCCAAAGGCTGGGAGCAAACCAAATGTCATCAATACCGCTCAGCCACAAAAACTGACAGACACTAGCTTAAAACGGGAGAATTTCAGAAACATGAAGTTGAGCAAAGTAAGTTAGACACGGGGCCTCCCTAGGGGTATTCTGTGCTATCACGCCATTGCCAACCACTGCAGCAGGAGTTTGATCCAAGGCCGGAGAGCTGACCCACATGGCGCGGCAGACCTCTCCTGTCTCACCCCCTCAGCAGTGTACGTCAGTACATCCATCCACCTGTTCTGCTCCCCGCTCAGTCTCCAGTGAATCCTCTCACACACACCCCCACACCTCTGGCCTACACCCCAGTTTTTATATGCATAAATAAGTAAAATAAATCTTTAAAAAAATCAGTAACACACTTACTGAACAAGTTGAATTACCAGAAAATTTAACTTATTTGATCCCATTTATATGAAATCTAAGAACAGATAATTGAGGCTGATAGAAATCAGAAAACGTTCATGGAAGAAGAACAGTGAGTGGGAATTCGAAGAGGCAGCAGGTAACGGAAATGTTCAGTGTCTTGATAGTCAAACCGCAGTATGCAGCTAAGCTTCCTGCAGTTTATGTCATGTAAATTACACCTCAATTAAAGAAAGGGAGCATACTGGCTGTGGACCCCACTCCCGAGATTCAAGGGTGAGGGGGTCTGGAGTGGGGCACCACCTTTCGAAGTGCCCCAGGGGGCGCCAGAATGCAGGTAGCAAGGGCCTAGTCTAGTTCCCATTTCCACTGTGTTCCACCATGGTCTCCGTTTCTACCTCCTTAAAAGTCTAGCTGGCTGAGATTTAAAAAAAAAAAAAAAATGCACAAAATGAAGAATGGCATAAAAAATGAAAAATATTTCTTAAATATTTATTTAGAAAAAATGACAGTCTAGCTGGCTGGGCCCTGTCAGCTCTCCCTCCCTCTTCTCTCCTCATAGAAGACAATGCAACAAAGGTTGAGAGTCAGTGTTTGACATTTGGGGACATTTGCTTGTTACTGCTAGTGAAAAGAACACTAGCAATAGCCAACATCTTCTGAGTTGCTGTGCTTTGAGCCAGAGACGGTGGCATCAGAATGTACATTATTTAATGTCATCTCTGGGATAATTCAGCCTGCTATTAACCACTATCATGCTAGACACTAATACCATAGTCATTCCCTCTTCTAGGTGAAAAACCTGAGGTAAGGTAACATCAAGGACACAATTTCGGGAACTGGTCAGAAACCATTGTGACCTTCACACTCCCTTCCATTGCATGCCTGCTGCCTCTAGCTATTTTTTTTTTCCAAAAGGGGGGGAATTTTTTTTTAAGATTTATTTATTGATGCCTACAGAACTGGGCATAGGCCAGAGGTGCAGGGGCTGTGAGAGGCTTCACCAGAGACAGAATGGGGAGCAGAGCAGGTCGACTGACGAAGTATACTGCTGAGAGGAGCAGAGGGCAGGTCAGGAGAGGTCTGCCGAGCCATGTGGGTCACCCCCACAGCTGGAGACGGAACTCACACTGAAGTGGCGGCAGCTTGCAGTGCTGTGTCCCAACTTGTTGCATCACCAGGGAGGGCCACCTCCAGCTACTTTTGGAGGCTGGTGTGGCTGCCAAGAGAGAGCACCAGAACCAGAGTCACCGGGCACACATTCTAGCCATGGAAATGTTAGTAAGTAACCCATTCTCAGTGTCCTCGCTTTTAAAATGGTAGAACCCCAGATCTGCCTGCCCCATGAAGTTCTTCAAGATTTAAATGAGAAAATACTCAGGGACACAAAGCATTGAGTATCAGGAGAAGCCCATCCGGAACACAGACAAGCACCTACAGCCTGGGAAACTGATGTGACTTCCTCATGGTCACACAGGAAGAATCTGTCTCCCAGCGTGGCTGGAGTTATTCCCACAACATGATTTACCCGGTCTCTGGGCAGGACCCCCTTTTAATACCTCCCCCCCAAAAGTCTCAAGGACCTCTGTGGCTTCTGCCCTCTGCACCGCCCTCATTCTCAAACCAATTCCAAGCTGTTACACTTCTCTAGCACATTGCCCTTCCTTGCTGGCCCCTAGGCCAGGCGCTCCCTCAGGGGTCCTCATCACCCCTCCTGCCTCTTCCTGAGAGGTTCAGGTGAGCCCCCTTCTCACTCTCCTTAGTGACAAGGCTCCAGAAGAGGCCAGGCTCCAGACAGAAGTCCCTTACGCTTTGCTGTTCCCTTTTATGACTTAAGGCAGGAAGAAACATTCCCTTTCAGTTTCCCTTTCCCTCCCTGTCAGTTGAAACCTATAGTGAAACAATTGACTACTGAGTCCAACACAGTGATGATACCAGATCTCCCTGGCAAGAGGATCTGATGGGGTAAAGAATGCCTGCAAAGGGCTTCAGCTGGACAGCCCAGCCCTCCTAACCCTGACCACCTCTCCTCCTGGCCTCTGCTCTGCCCTGGCAGGTGGTCTCCATGGAGGGTGAGTGAACAGACAGGCATTACTGTCTCCACTTCACACTTGAGGAAACTGAGGTCCATCAGCTGGCATCTTCTGGAAGGCCACTCAGCTAAGACATAGTGGAACCAAGACTTGAACCCAGGCCTGTCCAACACCATGGTCCCTGCTTTCTCTATTACTGCCTTCAAGCTCCAAAGCACT